CCCAGGCTCTGGCCAGAGGGACAGGGGCGCAAGTCCTTGGCGCTTCCTTGGGGCGCCCAGGGCTGCAGACGGAGGCCGGAGGAAGCTCTGGTCCGGACGACAAGAGCTCAGCGCTTCGTGCGAGCCCTTTTGCAGACCCAGGGAAACGGGGGGAGGGAGCGAAGGAGGGAGAGAGAGTTAAAACATCAGCTGAAGTGCCAAGATGATTTATGAGACGGGGGAAAATATTTCATAAAGATCTCCCGGATATTCTGTACTTAACCAGTTAGGAGACAAAGGGCTTCTCCTGCCTGGTGCGTGCAAGCGGACCCCAGCTAGCAAGGGAGCGAGCGCCGGCGAGGGCTGCGTCGGCTGGGCCAGCGGCTCTAGCAGGAGCAGGACGGGACGGACGCGGGTCCCCTGGGAGGTTTTCTCCCTCCATCCTAGAAGTTTCCCTGCAGGTGGATGAAGTGAATCAGGCTCAGGCCGACGGGAGAGAGAGAGACAAATGCCAGGATCCTGGCATACCCAAGTACCTAGAGAGTGGGAGGCTCAGAATCTTGTCGGGTTGAGGCTAGCCTAAATCCCACTCAAGAGAAAGGATGCCCCGAGAATCCGGACAGGAGACGCCCAGGAGGAGCAGGCTGAGTTGAGCTGAGTCAGACGATACGGGTCCCCAACCTATCTGCCTCCCAGGCTCTGGCCAGAGGGACAGGGGCGCAAGTCCTTGGCGCTTCCTTGGGGCGCCCAGGGCTGCAGACGGAGGCCGGAGGAAGCTCTGGTCCGGACGACAAGAGCTCAGCGCTTCGTGCGAGCCCTTTTGCAGACCCAGGGAAACGGGGGGAGGGAGCGAAGGAGGGAGAGAGAGTTAAAACATCAGCTGAAGTGCCAAGATGATTTATGAGACGGGGGAAAATATTTCATAAAGATCTCCCGGATATTCTGTACTTAACCAGTTAGGAGACAAAGGGCTTCTGCCTGGTGCGTGCAAGCGGACCCCAGCTAGCAAGGGAGCGAGCGCCGGCGAGGGCTGCGTCGGCTGGGCCAGCGGCTCTAGCAGGAGCAGGACGGGACGGACGCGGGTCCCCTCGCGCCCTCGCTCGGGATCCGCGGAGCTTGCAGCCCGCGGCGCTCCGCAGCGTTCGCAGCCTCCTTTTCTCCCCAGCGGGGGAGAGCGAACCTTGGTCCCCGCATCTTCTGCCGCCAGCGACCAGCTTCTCGCCACTGTCTCCCTCCCCTCACCCCTTCCCCGGTCACCCAGGCGTCCAGGAGCCAAGTCCCTGGGCTCTCCCGCCGCCCGCTGAGTCCCACCGAGGCAGGTGGGTTCTCGCTGTAGGTCTCCAGCTTGATTCTAAACAAGCGTTCTGGCCTGCCCAGACCGGGTGGGTGAGGGGACGAGGGAGGCCCTGAGCGCAGTCGCGTGTGGGACGGGAGAGGACAAACTGGCGGGCACTCTGCCCCGAAAAGAGAATGGGGGATGCGTGGGTGGGAAAGGCGAAAAGGAAGGGCCAGAGAGCAAGACCCAGGAAGGAACGGAAGGGAACTCAGAGCTGAGGGGAGCGGGGTTAAGACGAGGGATGCGGACTGGGCCCGCAGCCGCGCGGCCCTTGCGGACACCGGCCAGTGGATGGCAGGGCTCCGCGACTTGGGACTCAGAGCGCGGCTTCCCGGCGCGGCGCGCTCCGCGGCCCTCTGTCGTTGCCTGAATATTCATTAGACTGGCCGCTCTTTATCCTTATCTAACGTTTATCTTATCGGCGAGTTTCGTTTCTCAGTGTAGTTTTAATCCCGGGCTCCCATTCCCCCTCCCCTGGCCCGCTCGGCTCCCTCCCTCTTCCTTCGCCCGCTGCTCCCTCCTCCCTCCCGTTTCCCCCTCCCCTGCCCTCCCCTCGCCGGCACCGGAGTGACAGGCGCGGGGCCCTCCCCGCCGGAGCTCGGGGCTCCGGCGCTGGCGAATCACAGAGTGGTGGAATCTATTGCCTTTGTCTGACAAGTCATCCATCTCCCGGCGCGGGGAGGAGGAGGGGGTCTGGAGGGGGCTTTGCAGCTTTTAGAGAGACACACACCCGGAGCCGAGGCTCCAGTCTCCGGCCGAGTCTTCTCGCAGCCGCAACCCACCCCGGGCC